GGTGCTTGTTGTTACCCTGCCTGGCGCTCAGCATGGGCTGAAACAAGGACTAATCGGCTCAAAGTCAGAATACTGTGTCTGAGTGGGGTATTCATGTTAAACAACGGAATGGTGTCTATATAATCGGCATCAGTGGGGACTGGTACAAACAGCCACACACACGTGCATGCACGTCGCTATATAAGTGCAATAATCTTGAACGCGACATTAAACCCCATTTCACTTCACCTCACCCGTTATAAGTACCTTATGTGGTCATAAATGAGTGTAAAACGACAGTTATCCAATACGATTACCTCGGAATATCCCTGATATAAAAGAGATATTTTACGGGAGCTTCAAATTGTCTTGTCTCGTTCGCTGGCCGGAGGGGCGGCGAGGTAGCCTCGAATAAAAATATTTACATGTCACACAGCATATTCAGAAACATAAAAACATTATTGTTAGGCAATGTGGCGACAAACTTCGCATTTCAATCTCCAATATTCTAAAATTGTCATAAATGATCATGATTAAATTGGTAAATTAAATTCGTTGCCGGCTTATACATCTAGTAATATGTGATTTTGTATTGAGATCGGACGTTTTTAGCTACAGCTGCAAAACCAGATGTTTTTAATTAAGTCTGTGAGCCTTAATATGTTTGTAAAGAAATACCTTGGAACAATGTGAATTTTGTGGCAGACAATTGCTTTTCTTTTTTCAATTGTCTAAAGTATAGTTATGTTTTTCAAGAATCTTCCGGGAGAATTCATCGTTTTTGCGCGGTCGGTTCCAATTTCAATTTAGTGCGGCTAAATCTACAGGCAACCTAGCTCTACATTGAAACACAGTATGTTTATCTCCTAAATCCGTGGTATCGGATTAAAGTTTGTTAAAAAAAAGCCCACACTCAATAGCATTACCTCCGACGTCCACACTTTGTCGCCCCTCGAGTATATAAGCTAAATAGTACGTGCGCTCTGGGAGGTACTCCCGAACCTTTCAGTTTGTTCGGCACGTGCCCCGACGGAAGTTCAAAGACCGGAGTCACTGTCCAGTTGTGCATACAGATGCTGATTTCGTAACATGTGGTTTGATCCCATGTCTGCTAATCTATACTGACTGGCGTTGTAGCAATATTGACCTCGGTAGATTTGTAATACCCTCTGTGTATTTAGATCGTGTCTGCTGTGTATTGGAAGTGACAAGTTACTATCAGTGCTGCTAACTTGTGTATATTTGTCTGTTAGACGTACGCTGTGTGAGTCCAAATGTCAGTTGCTTACTTAAATCCTTAATTTAGCTTGCTTAGTGTTTATAAATCATCAACCAGTTTATCTTTGTCAGTGCGCCTTGACGCAATCCATCTGTCCATATATCTTTTTAATTCACGTGTATGTATTCCCGTATGCTCTTAAAATAACTTTCGACAATTACGAGTCGGTTCCCCTGTGCGTGAGGCGTTACTCTAACGTAGGTGGCATAATCATTAATAAAGCCCCGTGGCAGAGTTCTAGATACACCATGTAGTAGATTGTGCTATGTATGTAAACTGAGGGACAGAAGACGTTTACCGAGTTTTCTTTTTCTAATTGAAAACTGAAAGAACTATTGTTAAATTTGATTATATCTATTTAACTACCACATTCCTGAAACAGTTGTAAAATATAATCGGTGGCTGGAGAATTTTGTGTAACAATAAATTGGTTCAATGAAGACTGGGGTAATAAATGAATTTGCAACCACATGACCCCTACCAATGTTGTAAATTTGTGCCGACTAAAGCAAATTGTATTGCTTTTTAAAGATAAGATTTCTAAGATATCCATAATCAGTTGTGTATTAAGCGAAAAAGAAATTGTTTTTAAGTTTAAAACAAATTATTTAAACAAGTACACCCTGTAGAATTATTCTTTGAGTGTTAACTTAGCACCAGTATAGTTGATATTTTTTACATTATATCGCTAACTTAAGATATTTTCATTTGAGTGAGTGTCTATGGTTTGACGCCGCCTTTAGCAATATTCCAGCAATATCTCGGAGGGGGACACCAGAAATGGATTCACATTGTACTCATAGGGGGAATCGAACCTGAGTCTTCGGCGTGATGAGCGAACGCTTTAACCACCAGGCTACCCCACTACCTCTGTTTTCTTTGAAAAACGATCGCCTCCGTGGTCTAGTGGTAGAGCGTCCGCCCGGAGAGCGGAAGGTCCGGGGTTCGATCCCCGGCCGTGTCATACCAAAAGACGTTAAAAGATGGAACTTGTTGTTACCCTGTCTGGCGCTCGGCATTAAGGTTCTAAAATAAAGACTGGTCGGCTCTGAGTCAGTATACTGTGTCTGAGTGGGGTATTTATGTTAAACTATCTCAGTGGGCTAGCACTATAAATCGGCATCAATCCGGACTAGTACAAGCAGCCACACACACACACATGTGCATGCACGTCTCTATATAAGTGCAATAATCTTGGACGCGACGTTAAACACCATTTTGAAAATCAAACTGAAGATAAAATCAGCTCTCTTACGGTATATGCGGTTATCATCTGGCAGTCTTCATTCCATACCCATATCAACCCGAGACTCCCATATCAGAGATGGGATATGGTGTGAAAATTGCCTTATAGCAACCTTTTTATCATCAACCTGTAAACAACATTCATACAAAATGAATGTCGCTGTCGGTTTTACGTACATCGTTCTTCTTTTATCCTTTTGTTCACAAAACCGTGTTCGTTTCGCTTTTAAATCTACCCTAGCTCCATAATTCTATTTGCAAGTAAATGCAGTACACTTTCACCAGGCGAGCAGACGACGCACTAAGGGAGGTAACTCCCAAAATCTAACAACCTGGGCTGATATCTCTCGCCCATTCAAAATGCGTTGATAAGCCATATCAGCCCGGCAGGGTTAGTTGGTTCGTTTGTTGTTTAACGCCGCACTCAGCAATATTCCAGCTATATGACGGCGGTCTGTAAATAATCGAGTCTGGACGGGTGTAATACGTGTCTGGTTACCACATCCCTTGTGATATGACCGCTTCTATTGCACATGCAAAATACACTATGTCCTTGACAGGTATATGGTAATTCTAAATATGTCTTCCTCAATTCTGTTCGAATCCCGACACGGGTACAATGTGTGAAGCCCATTTCTTGTGTCCCCCGCCGTGATATTGCTGGAATATTGCTTAAAGCGGCGTAAAACCAAACTCACTCACTCACTCACTCTTCCTCAATTATCAAGTTTGTTATATTTCCATGTTCTTATGGTATTCGGTACCATAACTCCGCTTTGAGTCCGATTCAAATGACTCGTCATCCAAAGAAATCACGCGCATGAACAAAAGACATTGATAATGTAATTAGTTGATCGGCAGCAAAAGGCGGCAAATGGTGCTGTTGTGGACGTTGAAGTGGCGTGCAACAGAAAACTGCGATTCCTCTCTTTGGATACGTCCTATGGCGATGTTCCGATCGGCAGCGCTGAGTCTCGGCATTTTCGAACTTGAAAAATGTTGACAATTGAACGACAAATTATTGGCTTATGCTTGCCTTTATATAGCCACTACCAAGAGTTACGAACGCCCTAATTTGCACGTGCATTTTGCTTTACTGTTTCCCTCAATGACAGTTTTGAACAAGTGTAAAAACAATGCCGTTTAAGACATTGCATTGACGCGCCGTTTGTCGAATATCAGGCCACCAACATTTTCCAATAACATATATCCAATTTATGTACCGGAGTGTATTGGTGAATCGATTTTTGCGCAAAACATTTTAAAACGGGAAGTAAGTGTAAACCTTGTTATCTGATTGCTCGAATGTAAAAACTGTTTTGACTTTCATGTACCCAGAAAGCGTTCATGCCAACCCGGTGCTTGTTATTGAACAATTTAGTTAAGTTAGTGCATTACAACGGGTACTCCATTAGATGTCGGTGGGTCGTGTTGTTTCTTGTTGACTACAGAAGTAAGATCCGGGTTAGAATACGTCTTCAGCAACCCATACGTGTTCTAATAGGCGATCATGCTCGCCGTAATGCCCCCATTTCACTACGACCACGAATATCCGGAATCATCCCGAATAGGAAATTTTTCATGTTCGTAGATTAATCAAAATCATTTCTTGAAGTTCTTAAATGAATCTTATTTGAGATTCGTACAGTTCGCGGGAGTTCGCCGAATCTGCGAGAAAGTTTTTGTTTGTCAAAAAACTTTCGTGGAAGGGTCCCCGAATTGCAATTTCGTGGCTGTATCGCAATCCATTCGTAATTAATTATTATGTTCCGTAACAGCTTCGTAATAGATTCTTTTGCATTCTTGGCTATTCTTAGCGATTCGTGGCTCCCAAAATTTCTTGTCCTCAACCCGAAAACATCCCGAAACAGCAACGAATGTCCCGAGTCAACTACGAATCATGTAAGAATTAAGTAAGAACAACATTCGGCATATTCGTAACTTTGTTGTAGGCGATTCTTACAATTCGTGCATGATCCGTACATGAAGCTTGTAATTCGTACATGTTTCTTAATCCATTCCTGGCATTCTTCATATTTTTCAACCCGATTAGCCACGAATGTTTGCATTATTGGCCGAATCATCACGAATTTCGAAAGTTTCCGATTCAGGATGATTCGGGACATTCGTGGTCGTAGTGATTAAGAGGCGACTGACTGGATCGGGTAGTCAGGCTCGCCGACTTGGTTGATGCAAGTCATGGTATCCCAATTGCATGTTTCGATGCTCATGATATCACTCACTGGATTGTCTGGAACAGACTCGATTATTTACAGACTTTCGGGATAAAACTGCATAGATATTGCTTGGTGCGGCGTTAACCAACCAACCAACAAATTATGCGTTATTTACAGAATTTAACTGTGACATATTTTTTCCAACCTATATATACTTATATGTAGCTGATGCAATAATTTGATTATGTGTGTAAACGCAGCTGTCTACATGCGCTGTACATACATGGGAAGGCTCACTGGATGATAAATCCCCAAGCAGGCTGTGATAATTTGGTTGAACTGTGAGAGACGTGGCGCTCTGCACTGCGCTGGCCTCCCGATAAACTCACGAGACCTCGCAGTGACGTGACGAGCAGCCAATCAGGCCACAGCAGCGACTCGCTCATCCAATGGACTGATAGATAAGTGTATAAATACATCACATCACGAGAAATCCGTGGAGAGTGTAAACAAAGACGCGACGATCAGCAAGGTGTGTCATTCAGCAGACGTCAGATTTCACGACAACACAAAATGTCAGCAGCAGACGAGCAATACATGGACGAATATGAGAAATACAACATAGATCAGGATAAATTTGTGAACACGGGCCATAGTGGAAAGGGACGGACGAAGAAAGAAGCTGAACAACACATTCGGGAGGACCCGAGCGGACACACAAGGAAGACAGTGCAGAAACTTATGAACAATGCACATAACAATGCGACCGGGCCGAAAGGTCCCTCCACGGTTAAGAAATCCTGATAACATAAGGTAGGGTTTTGAGGACTGTGCCGGGTTGAAAATGTGGATTTTGAAGTTCATGCACAAACTAGATTGCCTATAGCTTACATGACTAAAATTGTTGAAAATGACGGATACTTGTGTGTATTGAACGTGCAAAAAACATCACGAGTAACTTGTTTGTTAGCTAAGCGTTCATAGGTTGTGGTGAGAACAGTTTTGTTTGTTAGATAGTTCTGTTTATCAAACACAAATGATTCTGAATAAATTATCAACCGTCCGGGATTCGTCAAGTTGAATTTCGATAGCAAACGATCGAGGTTCATTTTTTTTTTCAAAAGTAAAAAGTGGGGTAATGATTTTTATCCCCACTTTAGTATTAATAGTTTTATGGATATTGGCGCATTACAGTTATGTGTACAAGAAATTAAATATTCGAAACTTAGTAAACACTCCACATTAAATTCGATCTTTGACTTGAGCACAGCCAATCTTTACAAATGCAATATGTATTCCATATTTACATAGCCTGTAAAGTTGAATAGAGGCAGTCCGTGTATCTTTTCGGCTCGGCAAGCCCAACTTGGCGTCAGTCCAACATGCCATTGTGATTCAGGTCATGCATGGTCAGCAGATATTGCTAGAGTGTAAACAGTTGGTAAAGGTCAAGGCCATACAGCCAACTACACGCAGTGCACATTAGCATGGTTTCCTGGTCAGGAATTGCCTGTTCACTCCAGCAGGTGCTTTGACTAAATGTGATTAATTGTTAGGTCTTGTAGGAACTAGGAACCCAATATTTGTATATTCTCGGGAGACAAATGCTATTTTAGGCATAAGTAGGCATGATATATACATTTTAAAACGAGGCTATGATATATACTTTTACATAAATGGTGACTTAGATATGTTTAGGTGTAATTATGTCCATAGCATTATTCTAAATTACAACTTTCTTGCTTGGTTGTACCTATTTTATTTTCATTTTACTAAGTAGTTAAATGATTTGCACTTAAACCATTTGATTTATTTTCAGAGATAAGAAGTGTAACGGGTACCCATGGCAACCGCTTCGTAAAGGACCAAGAGAAAGGATATGCAATACTTAAAAGGAAGGACCCGATTGACCAGTGGCCGGACTGATGACCTCTTGAAGGTCAAGGTCACAGTGATGTGATATCGGTGCGTCCAGGACGTATGCTCTGACCAGGACAGACCAGGACAATGGCACATCCATATGTCTACATTCGTCATTTTGTCACGTTTACAATTTGTCTTTTGATAAAACATATAAAATGTTTATTTTGTTACTGTGAGCTTTTTGTGTTACAGCCTTTGTTGAATGCTATTTCATAACCGACCAGTGAAGATCCAGGTTAGAATTGGTCTTCAGCAACTCATGCTTGCTCTAAAGGTTGACTATGCTTGTGGTAAGAGGCGACTAACTGGATTGGGTGGTCAGGCTCGCTGACTTGGTTTGATGCATGTCACCGTATCCCATTTGCGTGGATCGATGTTCATGTCAATCACTGGATTGTCTGATCCAGACTCGATTATTTACAGACCGCCGTCAGAAAGCTGGAAGTTTTTCTGAGTATAGCGTTAAACAACAAACAAATCATAACATTTTGACACCCACACTACTCAACATTTGCAGTGGACCACACCTTTGACTATTTTTTATCCTTAGGTTAATATTCAACACAACATTTGCTTTCGCACCCAACACTGGTTTCCATAGGATATATGGCTTGGGTGAGATTAGTGAAACTGCAGCACAAGGATTTTCAGACCATTGTGACAACTTGGGTTACCATGACGCCTCAATCGATTGACATGGGGGATCTCTTCCACAGAAGCTTGTTAGCTCTGCGTTTACACTCTAGACCCACGTCTTTTGATATAACATTTATCAACACAAGTCATTACGATTAAAACTTCCATGTATTGGGGCGGTCGGGTAGCCTAGTGGTTAAAGCGTTCGATCGTCACACCGAAGACCCGGGTTCAATTCGATGGGTACAACGTGTGAAGCCCATTTCTGGTGTCCCATGTCGTGATATTGCTAAAAGCTGCGTAAATCCATACTCACTCACTCACTCATATACATTTGAGTGTAGGGTTGAATGGACATTGCTATTAATAGCGGAGCTTGTTTGCTGTGTACTTGCAAGAGAGAACATGCTATCAGCATGAACTGGAACACACATGTTAATAGTCTGAGGGGAAAAGACTTAGAAGAAACTGCAGGGATAATAAGAGATAGTTGATTAATATTTAAACAGGTGAAATCTGGTATGCATATTAACACCGCTGAACAGCTGACCGATTTCCTCAACGTATTTTGTGTCTACTGATATGGGCCACATATCAGTGAAGTAATCTTATCAGATTGGACCAGATGCCTCATCTGTGGGGTTGTTTTCATTAGAATTAGAAAAGTAGAAAAGTTTATTTTTTTGCGCCAGTGAACAATATCCGTTCTATATTTCGACTGCTTGCATAATGGTCTGACCAGGAACAGTCTTGATTGTATGAGCAACCATTTACGTCATCGGACACATCCGCTTGGTTCGACATTGATTCGATCCTCGGTCAACTGTTGCGACAAACATGGGCGATTTATTCTGTCCCGGAATCCCAAACTTAGAATGTTTTTCTTTTGTAAGCGTCTGAGCTCTCTGTTGTAAGTGTTCACTAAGCTGTCCCAGTTGTCCATGACGCCGAAATTCACGGCGCGTCCATGAGGCGTGCCAGAAAGCTGTTATCGTGGGTTCGAATCCCAGTTCGCACTAATTAGGTTTCTTGGCAGGTCAGCACCATCACGGTGCACGTGGTGTTCACCAAAGTGGTGTTAAAGCGTCAAACCTGCATTACACTGGGTTTTCGTCCAAAATGGTAAGATAACTGAAATAGTAGCGGCCTTAAACAAAACTGATTATCTGATCAGATTCACATTTATGGAATTGTGTTCGTTCATTGCCTTTGTATGTAACTCGGATAATTACTACTAAAGTATGCATTACTAACATTAGCGGCCCGTGAAGATCCGGGGTAGAACAGGTCTTCAGCAACCCATGCTTGCCGTAAAAGGCGACTATGCTTGTCATAAGAGGCGACTAAGGGGATCTGGCGGTCAGGCTCGCTGACTTGGTTGATGCATGTCATCGGTCCCAATTGCATGGATCAATGCTCATGATGTAAATCACTGGATTGTCTACAGATTGTCTACAGATTGTCTACAGATTATTTACAGACCGCCGTGATGTAAACAACAACCTAACATTATCCATGCTCGCAGAGAAAGGTTAATACGAATTCCATCTGCTTGTTTTTGGAAACATTTGGAGCTCGCTCTTGTTAACTGTACAAGTGACAGAGTAAACTTGCATATGATGTTTTGTTGATCTGAATGGAACGTATTGCCCTCTTTTGAAGAAACGACCGCCTCAGTGGTCTAGTGGAAGAGCGTCCACCCAGAGAGCGGAAGGTCCGGGGTTCGATCCCCGGCCGCGTCATACCAAAAGGCCTTAAATAATGGAATTTGTTGTTTGTCTGGCGTTCGATATTAAGGGGCTAGACAAGGACTGGTCGGAGTCAGTATACTGTGTCTGAGTGGGGTATTCATGTTAAACTGCGGCATTGTATCTCAGTGTGCTAGCACTATAAATCGGTATCAGTCTGGACTAGTACAAGCAGACACACACACGTGCATTCACGTCGCTGTATAAGTGCAATAATCTTGGAAGCGACGTTAAAACCTATTTCACCTCACCTCACCTTTAGAAGAAACAGTATATTACCCAACTGCTTTTACAGTAAAGTTGGGCTATCTAAACCTGATGCGTAACATGGGCGGATACAGAGGGGGTGCGCACCCCACCCCCTTTTTTTTTATTTCGAAAAAAATCTTTATTTCTGTATAAATTACCACAAAAGACAATAAATAGTTCTTAATTGTGCACCCCCCCTTTTCAAAAAAGCTGTATCCGCCCATGCGTAATTCCAATGGTGTGTGTGTGTAGACCATACTGCACGGCACCGGCGACTCTAATCGTTTTGAGCTGCCAATTATGTTGTCGGCACAGCACCCTGCATCATCAACAAACACAGTAGGTGGATTTAAAGTCGTATGAGCAATCCTATTACCGGGTTCAGATGATTTAACGTATTTGTGCGAGATGGTTGGAGGTACGCAGTACTTAACGTCAACCTCGATCTGCAGTTAGGCAGCTGATTGTCTTAATGTCGTGTATTTACATTGCAATAGATGGCGTTCACGGCAGGGTCTGTCGTTCCAATTAATTTTGTAATCAGAAGGGGGGCACGGTGGCCCACTCGTCTAAGGCGCCGCGATTCGCTGTGCAGAGTTGCGTCTATTGGGCACGCCAGAAACCTATCATCGTGGGCTCGAATCCCGGTTCGCCCCGATTATGTTTCTAGGTTTGTCAGCACCATACCCGTGCTCGTGGGTTTCACTAAAATGGTCAACGTCTGAGACCTGCATCACTTCGGGCTTTCCTCCCACATTAAGCTGACAGGCCGTGATGTAACTGGAAAACTGTTAAAAGCGGCGTTAAACCCAACTCACTAACTCACTGCTTCGAGGCTCTATGTGACTGACTAATGAGTTATCCCCAATGCTTGTGAGCGAGTATGGTTTTACGCCGATTTTAGAAATATTCCAGCTAGTTAGTCGCCTCTTACGACAAACATAGTCGCCTTTTACGGCAAGCGTGGGTTGACGAAGACCTATTCTACCCCGGATCTTCACGGGTCTGTATTATTTACATGTGAACAGCGGGAAATATTATATCTGCACCATTGTTGTTTGTTTGTTTGTTGTTTAACGCCGCACTAGCGATATTCCAGCTATATATGACGGCGGTCTGTAAATAAAACCATTGTATCCATACCAGAATGTATTATAACAATTTACCATCCTTGTAATCACTTTGTTAAATCCGTATTTCCTTTGACCAAAATCAGTAAAAAAAAGGGTCTCAAAGAGTTTTGAAAGGACGACAATAACGTTCACATGAAACACCCTGATTTTACTGCAGTGATAGTTCATCTTCCAATTCCTCCGGCAGCAATATTGTGTAGCCACGTCAAAATTATTTATTTATTATTAAACCTTATACTTAACTTTATTTCAGGGACTATAATATAAGTCAAGTGGGGTTCAGCGTTGTTTGTGTGAGACCTGCAATGGAACACAGGTGTGGTGTTCCCGCAGCACTAATCTCGAGCTATGCGTGCTGCACGTGGAGCTGCTCGCACAGGACGGTGTATATGAAGACGGTTGTGTTTACTTGTGTTGTGGGTGTCAGCAGTCCTTCGATGTTATTGTCACACGCCAAGCATCCTATGACAACGATGAACTAATCGATGACAATATATCAAATGTATGACTCGCCTTTCATAAAAGTAGGACAACACAACACAGTTGTATAAAGCCAATCAATAGGGACACGTGGGTATAGCCACTCGAACGCATGTGAACAGAACAGCCTAAGAAATTCTATCAATTGCTACAAATTCAAAGTGAAATCATATCAATACAAAAACGGAAATTTGAACAATGCTAAACCTCAGAATAGAACTTTGTACACTGTTCACACACATGGATCGAGAGTCGTGCGTAAAGTTTGTTTCAGGTGTCAATCAACTGAATAACCCCCAGCCTATACAACGTTCGATACAGCTCTTTGGAAAGGGAGGGTTTTTTTCTTAGGGAACAGTAACCAGTGTATTATTGTTGAAATAAAACACAGAGGGAGGGAGAGAGAGAGAGAGAGAGAGAGAGAGAGAGAGAGAGAGAGGGCACACTCAAGGTACCCCGTGCTCAACACGAGAGCTGACAAGATCAGGATTCGATGATTTCAATGTGGGACGTGGATTGTGTGTCATCGTCGATGGCGATCGTCAGTCCGTCAACAGCCAGCTGGCCTGACCCAGATTCAATTATTTGAAGACTTGTATGATAAACCTAGAGTATTGGACAGACAGGTGGAAAAATATAATCACTCCCCAACACTAGAAACAGAGAAACCCCCCATGTTCTAATATAACTGACATGCTGTTCACAGTTGTCTGTTGAATATAATTCCACTATGAGTAAAGAAAATTGCGTTATTTGGCATTACGTTGCATCGTGTTGCGAAATCTCTAAGATTACATTGAAACTCTTATCTGCGTAGAATCGTGGCAAGTTGCCATCTGCCGTTCGCCGCTCACGTCGTAACACGCATATATACAAGAAAATCAATTGACACATGTGAATGAGTCACACGGTAA